CCGCCCAATTTTGGCACACCACTTACACGCTTCGTGTCTCCATAGGGAACTCCACGTAAGGTCCCAGCGGCGCAGCTCGCATGGCGCCGCCGCCCCACTTTGGCATTCCCCTCGTACGTTTCGTGGCCCCACAGGAAGCTCCACCGAAGGTCCCTGTGGCGCAGCGCGTATGGCGCCGCCGCCCCACTTTGGCATTCCCCTCGTACGTTTCGTGGCCCCACAGGAAGCTCCACCGAAGGTCCCTGTAGCGCAGCGCGTATGGCGCCGCCGCCCCATTGTGGCACACCCCTCACACGCTTCGTGGCCCCATCGGGACACCTAAGGTCCCAGTGGCGCAGCTCGCATGGCGCCGCCGCCCCATTTTGGCACCTCCCCTTTCATACGTTTCGTGGCCCTACAGGGAGTTCCGCCTTAGGTCTCACTGGCGCAGCTCGCATGGCGCCGCCGCCCGCCGCCCCATTTTGGCACACCCCTCACACGTTTCGTGACCCCAGAGCCCCAGATGGAGCTCCTCCGAAGGTCCCCGTGGCGGATTTTGCATTGACTTTTTTCCTCGCAGGGCCGCCGGAGGGCTTGCGGAAGCAGCTGGAGCAGTTCGCCACGGGCACGAAACGACGCAGGAGGGAAGCGGCGGACCTCGCCAGGGAGCTGAGCTTCACCGACTTTATCCGCGAGGCTTGACCTGAGGAGCGGCCCGCCCGAGACTCGCCGTCTCTCGACGGTCTGACTGTTTGGCCTCGCGCCGCGGGCGACCCGCGCTCGTCGCTTGGACCCTCTCGGGACGACCAGCGCGCGTCGCCAGAATTCCGCGCTAAGCTCTGCCCAGAGCCTCACTCGCCCCGGTCGTCGCTCTGCCCAGCGGCCAAAGCCTTGCCCGCTAACAGCCAGCTGGTTCTCGGATCCGCGCAGCGGACGACCCGCGCGCGTCGCCGGGACCCCTCCGGGGCGACAAACGCGCGTCGTGGGGACTCCGTGCGGCGCCGCGCCCGGAGCCTTGAACATGGGCGTACACGGGCAAACAGGGAGAAAAAAAACGGGAAGGAAGCGGGCGCGATCCTCGTGAGGAGCGTGCCGACATGGGCGTCGCGGCGTGCGGGCGCAGCTGTCGGGGTTCCAAAGGAAGCTTCCTGCGGCGGCCACGCTCAGTGTCACGAGTACTCAGGGTCAGGCATACGTGAACCATTCACATTCGTATGTGTATATATGCACACCAGGCGCGGCCGTGTTCGCATTCACGCAAATGTACTCACCCGCGCGCAGACTCATTCACACTCAAACTCGCTCGCGCTCAGACTCACCCGCGCTCAGTCTCTCGTAAGTCAACCTATCGTCTTCGCTGGTGTTGTGTACCCCGCCACGCAATTCGGCGCACCCCTTACACGGTTCGTGGCCCCATTGGGGGCGCCACCGAAGAAGATATGCACAGCTGCGGTACTCACAACTGCAGATGGTTTGGTCCTGCGCCAGGCTATTTTCTTTAAAATTTCGGTTTCCGATTGCCTTCGGTTTTTTGCCGCTGCGGGACCGCTTTCGGGCCCCAGGGCCGTCAGAAAACGATCTGGGGTACAGGATGCGCCCTAGTTGAAAGTTCAATCCAATGAAGGTCTGGGCCTGGATGGGGTGTGGGGCTGGCAAAGGATCACGGCGCGACGACTTCGAACCCTAGTGCTGCCATGACCCAGAGGCGCGATCCAAGTCGCTGGGCATCGTTTCTCTTCCTGTCCTCCCCCTCCTGGGAACCCAACATTGTCATGGACCGGTCCTTAGGTGCTAAGACGCAACGATCAATCAGAACTAATATGAACTTTCGGTTGTTTGTGGCAAATTCCACTTGTATGCACGCTGCACCCCGACCCGCTACCGACGGCAGCGGCAAACCCCAATCAAACGTGCGCCTCGAAACCACTCCCGATTTGCAACCCTCCTCGCTGAATCATATTTTATACTACTCGGGACCAATGGTTGCTAATTCCCCAGGGTGGCGTTACGGGACGGGTGAGGGGGAGAGGCGCTGCAACGATAAGTCGGCGAGGGATGCGGCGGCGGTTATAATACAAGTCGAAAAAATAATACTAATCGTGGTCGTAATCGTAGTCGTCGTCGTAACAGCTGATGTTGTGATAACAGTAGTCGTAGTAGTAGTAGTAGTAGTAGTAGTAGTAGTAGTAGTAGTAGCAGCATCAGTAGTAGTAGTAGTAGTAGTAGTAGTAGTAGTAGTAGTAGTAGTAGTAGTAGTCATCGTCGTAGTAGTATTACTTGTTGTAGTAGTAGTAGTAGTGTTAGTAGTAGTAGTAGTAGTAGTAGTAGTAGTAGTAGTAGTAGTAGTAGTAGTAGTAGTAGTAGTAGTAGTAGTAGTAGTAGTAGTAGTAGTAGTAGTAGTAGTAGTAGTAGTAGTAGTAGTAGTAGTAGTAGTAGTAGTAGTAGTAGTAGTAGTAGTAGTAGTAGTAATAGTAGTAGTAGTACTCGTAGTAGTCGTAGTAGTAGCAGTAGTAGTAGTAGT